TCTATTGACAAAATCTCAAACCTGTACAATGGAAATTGGATGGTAAATTTCACTGCAATATAAAATGTCCAACATCATAATAGGCCACTGTTATGGTATTCATTCAATTCACAAAGAAATTGTAAAAACTTTAATTTAAAAAGCAAGAAAAATCCAGAGCACACACTTACATAAAGATGTATTTGTTTACCTACTTAACAAAATTGACAGTAGGAAGCTTCTTTGCATGTTACAATGACACGTGTTAAAGGTATACTTCTTTCGAACCAAACATTTACCCTTCGCCACTGGTGAAAGGCAACAAGATCTCTACAAAATCTCATCTTTTTTAATAAATTTTGCATGAAAACATGTTATCCTGGTACAAAGTTGCCTGCTGTCACATTCGAAGTGTGATAAATGTTTAATGAAAACAACACCACACAGCTTGGTGTCAGACAACAGCTATCACACAGCCCTGCTTTGATCCAAACAGACACTTAAAAGGAGTTCTAAGCACACCCTGCACCACAGAACTCTATAACCTATATGCAAATAGGGGTAAATTAGCATAAATGACTTTCTGCTGCATAAAGAAATAAGAGATAAGGAAAAATATGACAGGAGTATGTAACTACTGTCAAAACTCAAGGGTCCAGCATTCCCAAATCACAACATCTTCTGCCAAGCACTTGGTAAGAAAAACCTCCTCAACAGGAATTTATTACATGAAACGCTACAATTGAAGACATTGGAACACTGCCAAGGTCAAAGCCATAACTAACATATCTATAAAGTATGACTACTTCATGGTACTGGACTGCTTTTATACACCGCTTCAAACATTTATTGCTTTGGAAATATTATTATCCCCATTTAACAGAAGAATAAATTAAGACTCAAAAAGAATAACTTGTCCTATAAGGAAAAAAGTTGTGAATGACTTAAAATGAGCAAAAATTGTAATTTTTTGCAATTTAACTTTACCAAGATGTAAACACCTTAGCACATTTAAACAGATATGCTACTCAAAACGGCTACATGTTCAAAGGTAGCAATTCCTATGAATAAAAGTATATATTCCCTCCATTGAGATGTTTTCTGCATTTTTAGTCTATAAAGACATACCTAAAATAGTTGTGATATACCTAATATCTAATTGCATTGAACAGTCAACTTTTTAATGAAAGATTTCATAAATAGGTAACTATAGGCTGTGGGCTATATTTGAAGCCCAATTTCACTGCTATCCCAGTAGCTTCAATACATATTCTCAGAAAGCTTGAAAGTCAATTGATTTAGTGGAAGTCACATTTCAGTACAAGAAATTCTATTTAGCTCCAGCCAGTTTGGCTCAGTGGATAGAGTGTCAGACTGAAGGGTTTGATTCCGGTCAAGGGCACATGCCCGGGTTGCAGGCTCCTTCCCCAGTAGGGGGTGTGCAGGAGGCAGCCAATCAATAATTCTCTCTCATCATTGATGTTTCTATCTCTCTTTCCCTCTCCCTTCCTCTCTGAAATCAATAAAAATATATTTTAAAAAAAGAAATTCTATTTAAATATATTCCCCTCCCAATACCCACCAAAAATAACTACTTCAGTTGTCAGGTTATGTATATGTATGTCTGGGGCGAAATTCTTACCGTTCCCTAAAATTATAAAGCTTCAGAAAAGCTTCAGAAAGTTATGTAAAGGAAGAAAAGTATAAACTCAACTGTCTGAACAAAATATTCCAGAAGTCTTGATGGGTACATTTCTGAGAACAGTATCCATCTACTGAAAAGCTAATAAGGGAATAATAAGTGTTAGATGCCTACTATTATTATGTCCCCTGTAAGTAAAGATTTTGTTCATACCTCATGTAGTAATGATTATATCATTACTTTATTTGAAACTTCACTGGCTTCTCATTGCCTTTAGAATTAACTCTAAACTCCTTGACATAACTTATAAGGTATTCTAGTAATCATCTCTCATCATTATTTCTCTTCTACTCTAAACCAAGCTCTATAAGACTTCAGTTCCTCAAATACCTACCTTGCTTGCCTCCAAGTCTTTCCATATGAAGTTCATTTTGCATGCAACATTCTTTCCCATCTCTTTCTTCCTTCAATGTATAAACATCTCTTCTTTTGAGAGCCTCTCCCTGACATGTTGACCAGTCTAGATCAACCAACTTACCTAATGTTCATAGAAATATCTTTCAACCGGAAAGTGTCAAAAATGAAGATGAAGAAAAAAAAGGAAAAAAAAAAGAAAACAAACAAAAAAAGACAAAGAAGGAAAAAAATTTAAAAAGAACAAAGGAAAAAAAAACACACCAAAAACTGAAGATGAAAGCCAATGTGCTGAGACTGGCCTGTTGGAAGGATAAAAAGGGCCTGGGTCTGCTTACCTCCAAACTATTTGTTATATTAGCAATAAATGTACATATGGCTTAAACCAGATGTTGACAAACTACAACCCTTGGGCCAAATCTTGCCAACTATCTAGTTTAGGTTTTACTGGAACACAGTCATGCTGTTCATTTCGTATTATCTATAGCTGCTTTTGTGCTGGAAGGGCAGAGTTTAATAGTTGCAATAGAGACATATGGCCTAGAAAGCCTAAATTATTTACTATCTAGCCCTTTACAAAAAAAAATGTTGCTGTCCCTGGTTTTGTTAGTTATGACCAAAGCAGCCTTGCTCTTACGATGTTACTGTAATTACTTATATATCTTCCCTTCTATATATGCTTATTTATGGACCTGCATGAAATCCCCTACCATTATGTCCCTATTCCCTAACAGTACTTGACAAATAGAAGGCATTTAAATACTATTGATTAAACAAATGAATAAATGAATGAATGAGCATATCTGATCAATTACCAATAAATATTTATTAACAACTAACATGTACATTACGTACTATGAGTAATACAAAAGAGTATAAGACACATTCTCAGTAGAATAGCTTAAATCACAGATTTAGGAAATAAACACATACTTTTTTAAAAAAGATAAATCATTTTTGGAACAAAGGAGGGTGTATCTGTACATATATAAATACTACCATATTAACTGTATACACTGACACACACACCTTGCAAAAAAAACACCTGACTTCAGGATATACCTAAAGGTATGAATTTGTGTGTTCTTAGCACTAACCAGTAGACAGGGCACCCTGACATAGCACCACCCTGTAATACAGTCTACCAAAATCATGGAGGTGACCGAATCAGGCTACTCACAGCTTTTTGGTGTCAGTACCCAGGGCCCTTCAACTGGCCCCTCTCGTTTGGACTTTGTTCAGTCACTCCCTTTGCTGAGTAAGAAGTAATGACAAATACAGTATGGGCTTGTGAATCTTTTATCCAGGAATGAGTCACTTGAACACCTCAACACTGAATGAAACAAGTGTCTAACCTGTAAATCTGGCCCAGACCCTACCAAATGAGAACCTTTCCTGAAACCACCTGACCTCCATATCTTATTCACGCTCTAATTTTTCTTACCTTTAAAATTCACAAAATAATGCTTTATATAATGTCAATTTTATACAACTGTGCAAATATTACTCTAAAAAGTTAAAAGTTAGTGAGATTAAAAAGCAAAAATTTAATGAGTATTAAAAAGCATAGTCATATTTCTCATAGTCATGTAGTATCTAAAGTATAAACCTAAAGGGAAAAAAGGAACAAGAAGCAAGGCAGTTCCTTCATTGACATAATTTATTCATTCTTTTAGTCCATATTTTCCAGTCTCAGAAACCTATTCTACATCCTCTCTTCAAATCTATCATCCTCCCAAGTTTCTCCCTTTATCAATAGATTTCCCCGACACGCTCTCTGATCCTCATTCCATTCTACCAACTCCGGCTAACTCAGCTTCCCTATTCTCATAGCCAGATATCTAACACTATCTCCTCTCCTATAACATTTAAAATTAGAAAAGAACAGAACTCAGAATTTTTCAGGATCACAACTACTTAGTTTGTAATAATGATTGTGGGGTAATCATGAGAAAGAAAGTAACATAATAATGTTATCCTATTCCAAAATCCACTACAAATTTATTATTTCAACAAACACTTAAAGTCAACAATCTAGGGAGGTTTATATAATGTCACTGTAAATCTGGAAATGAAATATAAACAGAGAGACAACTGGGAAAAGAAAAAGGATTAGAGAAGAGTTCTATATCCTTTAATAAACTTAATTCTTCATAGAATCAAGGTCTCAAAAAACCATATCCAAGATCCTGGTAAGCTCTTCAACTTAACACTAAAATCTGATTGATACATCAAAAATAAACACTTTTTATTAAAGTATTAAAGTGAATATATGTAAGGTGTTGAAAGACTAACAAAAGGGGATAAATTCCTAGATGTTTTACTTCATAGAATAAGAGATCCCAATGTCAGTTTTGAGTAAAACAACTAAAAAGTTGTAATTTAAGCTACTAACCCAAACTTACTATTTCATTTTAACAGCTTTTAATTTAATAAACAGTTATGAGTGAATTTCACCCTCCAAGTGGACAGAGCTAGAGTAACTGTTTTAATAATATCAATTCCAGAAAAAATAAATTCCAGGTCCTGTATGCACAGACACTCTAACATATACATACACCTTAATATTGACCAAGTTCCCATTCTATACTGAAAGAGACCTAACCAATAGTGAAACATTCAGTAGTCTTCAAATTTTAAATTCATATTTATGATAAGTAAAATTGAATGTAGAACTTTTCTAAAGAATTATGCAAATTTTCCTTTACTGAGATACTAAGCTTTGATAGTGCTGTTTATTTTGTGTCTATGATTTGTTACATAAGTAAATAAAAATAAGAATAGAAAACAGTAAAAATTTGAGATAACTATTTTGGTTTACTCCTTTTTCTTTCCCTATTGTATTCGCCTCTTTTTTCCATCCAAGAAAAAACTTCCAAGAATGAAATTAGTTTGAACACTGCCATAGAATCACTGAGTTAACTCTCTTAAGATTTGCTTAACGTTCATGGAAATATCAACTTACCCCCGTTTAATGTTGTGTAATTCCTTGTCCTTGCCTTTATCCTTCTCCTTTTCTCTTTTCTCCTTATCTCTGCCTTTACGTCGTTCTCTATCCCGAGATCGACTACGGGTTCTTCTGTGACTGGACCTTTCACTGCTTCGACTATGGGAACGTGGGCGAGGTCTTGACCTGGACCTATAGTAAGTAGATTTTATTAAATACATTTAGTGCATATCTTGTATTATGAAAACAAAATATCCTTTAAAATTATGTGAAAGAAAAGAATTTAGTTTAATTCTGTGAAACAAACATCTAAGTATGATTATTTATAAATAAGCACTCTCAGTTAAAATGATACATAAGGGGTATATATGTTGTCAACTTTACAGGAAATTAAAGTTTAGTCAAAAAGTGCAAGTAAAAGTCTTAAAGGTTCAAATCAAGTCTTGATTACTCAACTATCTTCAGATAATATAACAAATCTAAATGTATCTGATCTAGTATCCAAGGATAGAGACTTCCCTATGCCTATAATCTCTGCTTCTATATAAAGTCAACCTTATTTATTATTTCTAATTGTTACAATAAAACTATGCCTCTACTCTAATCTAGCCATTCTTTGTATTAAATAAATAACAATATTTGGTAGGATATACAGTGTACTTTTAAAAGGTAAAAACCTCAGGTTCTGTCTCACAGTAGTGATAAGAAAGCTTCTACCAAACTGTTGATCTTACAGATAACTATAAAAAGCAACTATCTGAAGGTACTGGACAATGACCAAAAGAAGACAGATTCTATAGAGGGCCAACACTTGGAAAACGAAAACAGCGATGAGAAAATTTCCCATTTTATCAGCTTCTTTTCTGAGGACAAGCCCAAGTCTATGCCATGCAGGACAGCTATAACTCCAACAAAAAAAATTTCTGGCCTGAAAAACCAGAAGAAAGGCGCAGGGCAACCACCACAAAAGGAAAACAAAAGGGTAATTCTGAAAAAGCGTCAGAGGAGGTAGCTAAAATTCTGTATGTAAACTCTATTCAAATCTCTGGCTGAACCCTACACTGTGCATACTCCAAATAGCCAAAGATAAAATAAAACTAAACTAAAATTTCAACTGCCCCCCAAGAGACAAGATTTTTTTCAATTTTAATTTAAGTTAATTTTCTGCTAAAACAAACAAACAAAAAATCAGTATTCTTCAGAGGAATATAATAGAATCCAGAGTATTCAAAACATGATATTCACCTTGTCCAGAATTAAATCCAAAATTACTAGCTATACCACAAAACACTAAAAGTTGGATCCATTATCAAGAAAATAAAGTCAATAGAGACCAACCCTGAGATGAACTAGATGTTGGAAATAGCAAGCAAAGATTTTAAAGTAGTAAAAATAACCATGCATGTAATAAATATAAAGCTTAAAAAAACTAAAAAACAAAAAACACAGCAGCTCTATAACTAAAAACATACAATATCTGAAATTATAATTATGCTCAATGAGCTTTAAAGCACATTGGTAACAACAAAAAAAAGAATCTGTGCACTTAAAAAATAAATCAATTGAAATTATCCAATCTGAAGAACTAAGAAGAAATTGACTGCTAGTAAGAAAAGAAAAACAGACCCTCTGGAATCTGTGTGATAGTATTTTTAATGTGTCAAACATGTTTATTTAAACCCAGAAATAGAGAAAATAATGAGACAGAAAGCAAAATTTTTAAGTAGTGGTCAAAATTTCCCCAAATTTAGTGAAAGACAATTGTACAGATTCTAGAAGTTCAGTTAACTACAATATAAATATGAAGACCATTACTAGTAAAACCATAGTCAAACTGATGAATTAAAAAGAGAAATCTTAAAAGTATTCAGGGAAAAATCCCCAAACACATTACATTTTGAAGAGCAATAATATCAATTACTGCTGGTTTCTCATCAGAAACAATGGAGATCAGAAAACAGTGGTACAAAATTCTTACCATGGCAAAATAAAAATTTCAACACAAAATTTTATAATCAGCAAAAATATACCTCAAAAATAAAAGTAAAATTAGGACATTTTTTGAGGTAAAGGAAAAGTAAAACATAATCATCAGTAATAGATCTGTATTATAAAACATCCTAAAGTAAGTACTTCAGGCTGAAGAAAATGATAACAGATGGAAACTTGGATTTTTAGGAAGGAATAAAGCCCACTAAAAAATGGTAAAAAAAACAACAACAAAAAAAACCCACATATGCATTTATGCTTAAAGTAAACTTTAAAATGTCTTACTAAAGGGTTATAATGAAGGTAGATATAATATATACAACCTCTATAAAAAATAAAGTATGAGGCAGGTAAATGGACCTATATAGTTACAAAGTTTCTATGCTACATCTGAATGATGAAACAGTAACTCCAAATACAATGAATAATAAGGGCATAATAATGAGACAGAATGCAAAATCCTTAGAGCAACCACTTCAGGAAAATAATGCAAATAAGTATATAGCTTAAAATCCAAAAAATGAACAAAAGAGAATTCTTAAAAATATTCATTAATCCAAAAGGAGGCTGGAAAGGACAAAAAACAAAAACCCTCAAAAACAGAAGCTCAAACATAAAACAAATAATAAAATGATAGACTTAAATCTAAACATTTCAATAAATACATTAAGATTAATGGACTAAATACTTTAATTAAAAAGCAGAGCTTGTACAAATGAATTAAAAAGCCATACACAACTAGATGCTGTCTATGAGATATGTTCTTTATATATACAATCACAGGTAGATTGAAAATAAATGGCTAAAAATTGATATATCATGTAAACAGTAAACAGGAAGGGTGGAGTGACTATATTAATATCAGATAAACTAGACTACAGAAACTAAGAGTGTCACCCAAAATAAAAATAGAAACTTCATGATGACCAAAGGGTCAATTCATAAGTAAAAATCACACAAAATATGTTTATCTGACCACAGCATAATTAAATTAGAATTCAATAACAATAAAACATCTTGAAAAAAACCCAAATATCTAAAAAATAAATAATATACTTCTAAATAATTCATGCACCACTAAGAAATTACAATAAAAATTTTTAAATGTTTAAACTAAATAATGAAAATACAACATAGGAGAATTTGTAGATGAAGACATGTTTAGCAGGGTTATTTATAGCTTTAAATGTTTATATTAAAAAGAAGGTCTAAAATCAATTACCTAAAGTTTCACCTTAAGAACCTAGAAAAAGAAGAGCAAAGCAAACACAAGGTAGGTGGAAGGAAGGAAACATTAGAGAGCAAAATCAATGTACTAGAAAGCAATAAAGAAATTTAACAAAGCCAAAATCTGGTCCTCTGAGAATATCAATAAATTTGGTAAATCCATAGCTAGACCTATCAAGCAAAAATGAAAAGATCAAGCACAAATGATCAAAACTTAAGAATGTGGGTGACAGAAAGATCACATGAACTAGGCCTGGGAATTTAGGATATATGTTGGTCTGGAAGAGAATTACATGGGTATCAGTGGTAGTAATGTCTATCCTCTTTTAGCCCTAATGAGTTCACTCAGTAAATGAAGAGCATTATCTATATACTAGAAGCCCGGTGCACGAAATCTGTGCACTGAGGTGGGTGCACTGGGGGGTGGGTCCCTCAGCCCGGCCTGCGCCCTCTCGCAGTCCGGGACCCCTCGGGGGATGTCCATCTGCCAGTTTAGGCCCGCTCCCCACAGAGTGGGCCTAAACTGGCAGTTGGACCACCCTCTCGCAGTCCAGGACCCCTCGCTCCATACCACCTGCCTGCTCGCTGCTCCTTAGTGCTGGCACGGAGGTGGGAGAGGCTCCCGCCACCGCCACTGTACTTGCCAGCAATGAGCCCAGCTTCGGGCTGTGTGGTACTCCCCTTGTGGGAGCGCACTGACAACCAGGAACAGCTCCTGCGTTGAGCGTCGGCCCCCTGGTGGTCAGTATGCGACATAACGACTGGTTGTCCCGCCGTTCAGTCAATTTGCTATTTGGCTTTTATTATCTACTAGAGGCCTGGTGCACAAAAATTTGTGCACTCGGGGGGGGGGGGCCCCCCAGCCTGGACTGTGCCCCCTCGCAG